TTTCCCTTGGCCAAGAGCAGTGTGATACCTTTCTCCAGTTCTCTCCAGACCGCTGAAATTCTCCATGAAGGGGTGGATAGGAGGACTGCACTACTCGGCTCCATCTCACTTTGTATGATGAGCTGTATCAAAGTCCTAAGACCCCGAAGCACTCAGATACTTGCTGATTTGTCCTTCCATCTAGTAAGCTGCTCTGGGGTCAAGGATCCAGGAACTTGGGTGTGTGGACCATGAAGGGTGCCTATCTTTAGGGGCAGGGTTATTTTGTGTTTGCTCACATCATGGGTAATTTGATTAACAGAGAACAAAAACAGCATGCAAAGGTGATCCCATATAATTGGGCAACATGTAAATTTCTACCGTGGCTTCAAGTGTAGCTGAAACCATTGACTAGAAGGGGTGACAGAGCCTTTTCTTGCAGCCAAAATAATCTAGAAAAATATTATTTATTTTCATATATGAATCTGAACCCATATATATATTTGGTCTGAGATCAACTCCAGAATTTCATGATGGAAGCAGCTGAACATTTCATCAGTGTGGGGAAACATTACTCTCAGATACAACACCATGGGTGAAGCTGCAGAGATCTCCTTAGGATAAAAGAGATCAAGTTAACTTCTACCCATGGTTGTACTTACATTCCCTCACAAGTTCCTGGAGTTTAGATTCAAGCTCACCTAATTCAATCTAATATCCCGAGGCCAGGTCTAGTGCAACAAGGATTCAGGCCAAGAGGAGGAATTCAATGTGCTCAGGTGGTATCACTGGATGATCTCCTACCAGTCTCCTAAACCTCTAAATGCTGGTGTTTAATTGGGAGACAGGCGGTCATATGCTAAAATTAATTGAATCCTGTAAGGAACACCAAGACAGTCCTCTGGTGGAGTCCTCTGGTGGCACACTGCATTATCTACAACAAGTGCCCTTGAAATGGCAGGAGCCACAGGGTCCGTTTTTTCTCAGCACTTTTTATCACCTTCAGTCACAAAGTGAACAGGTTAGACAGCATGGCCTCAAGCACCAGAAAGATGCAACTGACAGCTCTGTTATCCTATGACTGCATACAGATGGACTGCATAAGAGGACGAGGGGTTTGGCTACAGAGAGCCAATCCCTAATGAAAATATAGGCAGGCAGCTATTGGTCAGTGAGCTGAGTGGTAGCCAAATCATTGTAAATCAGGTTCTAATGTGGAGTCTTTTGAACAGCCTATATAAAGAGAAGTGCACACTAATAAATGCTCTCTGCTGCACAAACCTCGGAGTGTCGTGTTGTATCTCCGTCTCCCTCGACTGCAACATTATCCCACATCATCCAGGGCCATGCTGCACTTCTAAAAGGGTATACAGAATTGAAATGGATATTTTCTGTAGGAATAACAGGTATCTGAACTTGCGTACCACTCACCTGACCTGGGAATGCAAAGTTAGCCATTTCCTTGGGGGTGGATTTAACCATCACTGAATACAAGGAACAGCAGCATGGATTTTTAAGACGTACATGCTGGTTGTGGAGGACTGTAGCATATGCTGTCTATTGAAATATCATCTCTTGGCTGTTTCTAACTCTGTTTCTTTAGTACGTGGAGTGTTTTGGACTGTATTTGATCTTGGCAGGGTGTGAAATCCTTGCAGGCACTTTTCAAGTGATCTATTTATTTGACATAAACCACTATGTGAATTAGGCATGAATTTTGAAACTGAAATCACAATTATATCTCAAATGTACATGGTCTGATTTAGGGAAGTCACCTTTAAAATAATATTTTCTAGTACTTCCTTTATAAAAATCTCCCCAAGTAATTCTTACAGTAAGACTGATTGTAAATGGTTCACCTGCTCCTAGGGACTCTATTCAGTGAACTAAATATATAGAAAAATTTGAACGGTGTAACTTGAAGAAACTGTAATAGGCTTCAGCAATTTAGAAGAGGTATACAATTAATGTGACATACTGGAAATGCTATTTAATAGAACAACAGATAACCTAGTGAGAGTTTCTATACCTAGTCACTACTGCAGAGGCCAGGATTTCACTGGGGCAAGTTAAAAGGGAAGCCATCGTGCTAGAAGGTGGGAAGAAAAAGTAATCCTCCATTCAGATACTAAGGCCAACGGAAAAGAAACGTCACATTGATCAAAAAGTATCCTAGTTAAATCACAACATGTGCTACAAATATCCTGCAGTGAGTGTTGTCCTAGAACACTCCAACATTTTTGCATAGTTTAAGAGTCTGAGCACAATCCTTTGCCAATGGTTGACAACAACAAGCCATAAATTGCAGAAAACACTGCATCTTGGCCTTGCAAATGCAATGTTGTGATTGACTACACTCTTCACCCAGGCACCATGACAAACACAGCACCAACCACACCAGGAAACTGAGAAGTTGCTTCAGTTTCCTCAAAGTGTACAGTACAATAGATGTTCCAAATAACAAGTAACAACCAAACTGTTTTTCTTAAGATTGTAAGAAGGATTAAAAAAAGAAGTGTACAGAAATTAATACAACCTACAAATGGAGAAAAATTCTGGAAGCAGACAGCATTTTTAGTTTAAAATAGGAATGAAAATATGCCCAGAAGCAGAATTCTGAAGTCAGTTTTAATTAAAGAGACAAAAAGCACTCTCCTGAAGTCCATCTGTAGTGGGTTGACCCTGGCTGTATGCCAGGTGCCCATCAAGCTGCTTTATTACTTCCCTTCTCAGCTGGACAGGGAAAAGAAAGTATGACAAAAGTTTCATGGGTTAGGATAAGGATGGGGAGACATCAACCACCAATTACCATCAAGAGGAAGCAGACTTAACTTGGGAAAAATTTAATTTAATTTATTGCAAATCAAATCAGAGTGAGTAAGATACTGAGAAAAAAGGAAAAAAAAAATCTTACAACACCTTCCCTCCATGTCTTCCTTATTTCTGGGCTCAACTTTTCTCACAAATTCTCTTCCTCATGCAGATGCACTGGGGGATGGTGGAAGGAGGCTGTGGTCAGTTCATCTCATATGGTCATATAGGTCACACAGCTGTAAGTAGTGTTATGCTGTGCAGTCCTTCCTTCCAGTAAATAAAATGTAACAAAATGACTCAACACTTGCCAGTTTGGAGAGTATACCAAATTATTTAGGGACACTGCCAGGGACCAGATTGCTGATGACAAAACTGCTGATTACCATGGAAACCCTGGCAGGTGTACCTACATGCACCAAGTAATTCCACTGGCTGTGCCCTTAGTCTGCAGGAACTGCACCTCCAAGATGGAAATCAGCATGACTGAATTGAAATGAAACAGCAGAAGTTTGCTAAAGGAGGTTACCAACTGCTTTAAGAGTGGTTTATGACTGTTATCAACTTCAGTTGGTTACAAAGCTGCAAGGAATTCACAGCAGTTAACAAATGGCAAAACTCAGATTACACACCACAAATATTTGTTGAATTTAAGTTACTACAGTATAATTTCATCCTAGCATCCCATGCTTTACACACACAGACTGATTAATGGCAAATGTTCAGGAGGGGTGGAACACCTCTTCTGTGAAGTAAGGCTAAGAATATTGACATTGTTGAGTCTGGAGAAGAGAAAGCCTCTTGTGGCCTTCGAGTTCCTAAAGGGAGCCTACGAGAAACGTGGGGTGCGTCTTTTTACAAGGGCATGAAGTGACAGGACCAGAGGGAATGCCTTTGAACTGAAAAAGGGTGGATTTGGATTGGGTGTTAGGAAGGAATTTTTCACTGTGAGGGTAGGGAGACACTGGCAAAGGTTGCCCAGAGAAGGTGTGGATGCTCCACCCCTGGGAATGCTCAAGGCCAGGCTGGATAGGGATTTGAGCAACCTGGGATAGTGGAAGATGGTTCTGCCCATGGTAGAGGAGTTGGAACTAGATGAATCCTAACATCCCTTCCAACCCAAAACATTCAATGATTCTGTGATTTAGAAAAGCACCATAATTCCTGCCCTATGGGAAATCTCAGGCATTGTGTGGATTTATTTGAAAAAATGCAGGCAAAAACCATCAGGGCAAGTGACCTATGTCTATTCAGATGCACAGGGCAGTGCCTGTTGGACACATCTGTACACCTTCAGGGTTTCTTGTGTCTGCTCAAGAATGGGGTTTGTGTGGCCTTTTGGGATGGGTTTTGTGACCTTGCCCCACATTCATCTAAAATTCAACAGGCTTCCAAGATTAATGTCTCACCCCATCAACGTCTATAGCTGTCTAAAGAGTGTGAAGATGGATCTAGGCTCTTCTCTGTGGTGCCAAGCAATAGAACAAGAGGCAATGGGCATGCACAGGACATTCCACTTGAACATGAGGAGGAACTTCTTTACTATGTGGGTGACTGAGTACTGGAACAGATTAACCAGAGAGGGTGGGAGTCTCCCTCACTGGGGATACTCAGGAACTTCCAGGACACAATCCTGTGCTATGTGGTCTAGGACGACCCTCTTGAACAGGGAGGTTGGACCAGATGATCACTACGGACCCTTCCAGCCTGCCCCAACCTGAGATTTTGTGATTCCGTGAACGGCAGCAGAGCAGCAGGACAGTGAATCAGGTGAGCTTACCCATATTTGTTGCTTCATCCTGACAGGAGCATCAAAGACCCCAGCGAGGGAGGATGGAAACAGCCACAGCCAAGGGATATCTGATACTTAGAAAATATTTTGGTACTTATTCTACTTCAAGAAACAATTGAAGACCATCACAATAAAACGACAAAAACATAATTGTAATGTGGTAATATGCAATACGGTAATATAGTAAAAGGTATAAAGGGTAGTAAAGTATAGTAAAGGTTAAAGGGTAAATGACATAAATCTTCTGTGACATCTGAAGACAGCGAGGTCAAAGGCCAGTAAATATTTCACTTGCCCGCCGTACGAAGCCGCGCAGTAACACCCGCAACGCCCCTCACGGCGCACCCGCTCGGCGATCGACTGCTCCGGCCGCGCCCGGGCCCGCGCGCCGGTGGGCGGGTCTCCGCGCGGAGCTCGATTGAGCAGCCTGTCCCTCAGCGCTGCAGTCCCCCGGTCCCGGGCCGGCTTCCGATGCTGCGCTGGTTGATCGGCGGCGGCCGGGAGCCGCAGGGCTTGGCGGAGGTGAGGTGGCTTCCTGCGGAGCCTTAGGCTTGGGGTGGGTGCCATGAGGTCGGGGTACACTGGGCCGTGGCCGTTCCCTCTTGGTAGGTCTGGGCCTCGGAATGGGCCATGGTCCGGGCCGGCTGTCGGCCTGCGAGGCAGTCGGACTGGTAGAACGGGTTACGGGCGTCCTCGAAGAGAAACAGGGACAGTGGGAAAGCACAGAGGCGAAGCTTAAGGACGGTGTCCAAGTCTGGGCACTTCAGTTCAAGGAGGACATTGAGGTGCTGGAGCGTGTCGAGAGAAGGACAACGGAGGTAGTGCAGGGTTTGGGCTACAAGTTTTGGGTGGAGTAGCTAAGGGAGCTCGGGTGGTTTTATTTTGGGGAAAAGGAGGCTCCGGGGAGATCTTAGCACTCTCTCCAACTGCCTGAAAGGAGGGTGTATCCCTGGGGGTTGCTCTCTTCTCCCAGGCAACCAGTGACAGGACGAGGACACAGTCTCAGGCTGCACCAGGAGAAGTTCAGGCTGAGCATCAGAAATAATTTCTTCTAAAGAGTGGTTAGATATTGGAATGGAGTGCTCAGGGTGGTAGTGGAATCACTATCCGTCGAGGTGTTTAAGGACTGGACACGGCACTCAGTGCTGTGGTCTAATTGACAAGGTGGTGTTTGTCATAGGTTGGGCTCGATTTCAGACGTCTTTCCTAACCTGATTGATTCTGTGAACAGCAGAACGAACGAGCTAAGATCCTGCTCGGTGGGAGTTACGGTGTGTAGCTTACATGCAGTTCTTGCAGCTCCTGCCTTCAGGACTCTGAGGTCAATAATGTAAGTTGTAGGCAGTAAGTTATTTATGTGTCACAGTAGTTTGTAATAGCTTTCCAGCATTTCGTCTTATTTCCTCATCCATGAAATATTTTTTGTTATGGAGTGCACTTTGTTATGGAGTAGCACTGACATCCTTGCTGCTACTCAGATTAAGAGTAATGTTACTGAATTAGAGGGACACATGCTTCTAAGAGTCTGCTGAAGTTCTCAGCATGGATTTTACAAGAGTTAATTAAAAGTATTGCTGCGCTCCATACACTTAGTGCTTTTGTAATTTAGGTAAGTATGAGGAAATAATTATTTTTCATCTGCTGTTCGTGAGCAAGTTATGCCAATATCAATGTTTACTTCAAAGGTCAGTACTTAATTTGGGTCCCAGGTTGGAATGATGGTGTGTGGGAATACCTCTAACTTTTGTAATCAGTCAAAATGCCAGATGGATTGCAGTCATATTTGCAGGTTTGTGTGTAGTTGATTTTAGAAGGAGGATAGGAAATACGGTGCAGTTTTCTAAGATGTGCTAGAAAACTGCCTTGTTCTGTGCCCCTCTCCAAAATTTAGACTCTGGCTTTGGTTTATTTAGTGTGATTTAATAAAGCATGAGCATGAATCAAGGTGTGGCCTGCTTCTTCCCTTCTGCCACTCATACCTTGGTTAAATCCAATCCACAGGACTTTTGTTCTCATTGTTTTGTTCTCACAGAGCTGTGGAATGACAGTAATAATTTTGCTTCTCAGTTGAAAATCTGAAGAATAGGTATTGCTGAGGGTTAGTCCCTAGACCTTTTTCTGCCCTGCATGATTTAATACTGTGTCATCTAATAATCTTCATTGCAATTAGTTCTCAATAGGTAGAAAAGCCTACAGCAGCCCACACAGCAGTGTGTGGGCTGTGGACTCATGGTGTTTGTTTCCTGTGCTGTGACTTCAGACAGCTGTGGCAGAGTGGCATTGCACTGGGTGAATAGAGGAAACCTGGCAAAGCTGTACTGAGTTTGTGAAATAGAAGTTTCTCCTTACTCTTTTTTTTTTTTAATGTGGAATTGGAAGTAATTTAGACTTAAGCTCCTGCATCTCTTCAGTTGATGGCCAGCCATGGTGTTCATTTTAGGGTGGCTGTGATAGTGGGAGCACTTAAGTGCAGGAGCATCATGGTCCGTGGGAACTAATCTGTCATGCACCATGATCCATAGATGAGTATTCCCCTGTACTCTCATATCCATGTTTTTCATTAATTGAAACAATTTGAAAATCCCGCTTTTTGAATGCTTCACATGATGGAGGTTATACAAATTTTTGAGGTGGCGATGAACATTTTGTTTCCTTTTTTTTATGATTACTTGTGTTGTTTACAAGTCATGCATAAAAACTTGCGTATTTGGAATAGATTCCGTTAACATAACCATACAACTTTTACATCCAAAACTTGGTGTTGCTACAGGAGACTCCAGTTAGTAGTTTGTATAAAAACAATGGATTTCTTCAGAGAAAGAATACTCACATAGCCCAACACTCGTGTAAATATTAATGAAGATCTAAAGAGAGCATAACTTGTTGTGTGACATTTCTGGGGGAAAAGTTGTTATTTTGTTCTCATCTATAAGTACCTTATCAACACGGTACCTTTCAGTATTCACAGGCTTTGTTATAATTAAGATTAGTCTTGTTGTTCAAAAGAAATAGCACCATCTTGTATTGAATAGGAAGTGACATCAGACTGTAGAATTCAGTTGTTAATGATACAAATTCTGAGTTTTTCAGAATGGTGTTAAAATTGTTTTCTGAATATATGTTTTCTGACTGCAGCCAGAAATAATAAGACTATAAAACTTGGGTTTCTTTCAAGCTATCCATGTGAAGGGCTGTCTGAGGGACTGCAAGAATGCAGTCCACACTAACAAAGTAACAAGTGAAAAGGGACGAAATGAGTGTTGAGAGAACAGGTACAGGAGGTATATGTCATTTCACCTTACAGAGTCTCTCTTGGAATTTTTGCTCCTTATATTCTCAGCCATAACATGGCTTGAACTTTTGTGGAAAAACCTATACAAAATGGGATCTTGCAGCACACATGTGATAAATGGTATATCTCTCAGGACCATAAATCTGTGCTGGTGCATCCTGATGCAGAATTGGTGTTGATGCTAACATGTCATTTTCCCAAATGCTTCAGAGTCCTTTAGGCCTGCCATGAAAGTAAGGATAAGTCTAATATACCGAGATTTCCCTAGAAGTTCTAGAACTGTCATTTTTTAAAGGAGTGTTTTGATTAGCTTTTGATGGGTGAACTCCCAAGTTTTTTAATTTGTTATTATAGTCATGCAGATTCTACTTGCATTATTTTAAAGGGGAACTGCTGTTATCATGTGATTACATAAAATGAGGAACAGTTGCTTCATGAAATGCATCAGGTAGCACAAAACCAAGATAAAATCACAAGAGCTTAATTTAAAAATTAAGAACTCTTAATTTTTAAAATAACCACAGGTTTCTTTCCATCTGTATTTACTATGTCATTCTTAGTTTCTGAAGAATATCATCGTAGTACCAATATCAGAGTAATGGAAAATTACAATTTTTCCTGCAAGAAAAGGTTCAAGTTTCTGAGGATAACATGTTAATCTTTCATGTGGTATTACCTGTCATGTGTACTGGATGTTGTACAGTGTTCTATAGTTGCTGTTTTTACAATGTACGTTCTGTTGAAGTTCTCAAAGAACAGTCTTGGAAATAGTATGATGTTGACTGTTGTGTAAAATGAATCTAGAGGGGAGAGAGTGCTGTCACTAAGTAACTACTGAGCTGCTTAAATGTTTTTTTTTTAAAAAAAATAATGTCTGACAATAAGTTGTTCCAGAATGTTTAAAACCTTAATTACAAAAAAGTTGTCTTGAAATAAAATTATGATTGAGATTGGCAGAACTATTCTGCCTTGAAAATGCAGTTCTATGCAGTATTTTATGGACCCTGCCTAGTGATCAGCTTGCTCCAAGTGATTGATTGTTCTTTTAATTAATAGTCTAGTTGGGGGTAATTGCAGATGCTGTTCTATAAAATGATTAATCATTCTCTGTTTTTTTAGGTGGTTTGCTTTGGTATTTTGTGAACAGAATACCAATGGGTGATTTATATATTATGGAACAGGACAGCATTTGTTCTTATTTTGTTTAAATATGTTGTCTTTATATAGGATTTTAAAATTGAACAGTAGATGAAAGTTATGAGAGGTTCACAGCCATCTTGTAAGAGGTGTAATTTAATGAAAAACTGAATGTATGGTGAATTGAGTCATGAGGCTGGCTTATAACTGAACTGGGTTTTCATCTCACTGTATCCGTGATTAAATCTGCACAAAATGTTTTTGTTGAACAGAAAATGCTATATCATAATTTCAAATATATGCCATAGAAATCTATTATTTATGTGAAATAATAGGAAATTTAATTTTATAATTATTTTCATTAAGGCAAAATGGTATGTCAGAAACTTCACACATGAGTCTGTATGTAGGTTGTTAGACATTACAAAGACCTGATGAAAGTAATTTTGATAGTGCAAAATAAATTTACTTCATTTTTTATGAATTTTAGAAATCCTCTGTACAGACAATTGGTGAAGAACAAATACAGAATCCTTACACGGAGCTCCTTGTGTTGAAAGGCCATCAAGATATAGTACGATTTCTAGTGCAAATAGATGATTGCAGGTATGAAATGCCATTTCAAATTGTTTCACAATGTCCTTGGCAATATGTTTGTAAAAATGTAGTAACATTTTAATCCTGTCTTTTTACTTTTGCGGGGTGAAGGCAGGAGAAACTGCTGGTAAGGCAAAGGATGAATACTCCCTTTTCTTGCTATGTTTGTGTATCTTTTGGCTTCTAAGTCCTACTTTAATGAGAAAATAATGGTGATAATGTTATGTTTCTTAGTACAGATTAATTCATGTGTAAGAATTGCCTCTAGCTAATTCAGCTGTTCTTTATCAGTCTGTTCCTGGTCTGAGTGTTGCCTCCTGTACATGCATAGATTCTCACAGGATAATATGGAGTACTTTCTGCTGCTGTTCTTACAAGATGTGTGTGTTTTATATTTCTGAATTGAGGATAGCTTTTTTACCTTCTGGTTCTATGAAAGAATGTAACATACTCCTACGGATGTGCTGTAGCAATTGGACATGCCATCTTCAACAATGAGTGTTGCTTTTCTGATCTTTTGTTGCACTTTCTTTTGATGCTATAGTGTTAAATTCACTTGAGCTTTGATTAATGCAATTTTTTTAACTTTCTAAGTTTTAAAATTTTTGGCTGCTTTTTTCAGAATGACTACTTAGCAAAAGTAATCATATGCATAACTTCTGTATTACATCTCTTCCAGTTTTATCTGATTCAACTTGCTATACTTCTTTGAAACCTGATAGTTCCTTTGTTTGTCTCCTTCAGGTTACAGCTATATGCACCTTTTTGTATGTTCCTGACAATCTCTATCTGTAACTTCTGAAGACTGAGTTATTTATCTTCTGAGGACAGTTATGTAATAAGTGGAGAACTGGTTAAGAGGATAAAGTGATTGTATTTACCTTTGTCACTTAGGAAGTGTGACTGAGAGAATAAATTGTAATAGCTGTACATTACAACCTATTTTCTATTTCAGTTTTCTCTAAATTAGCCTTGCATGTTCTTTAACTTAACATAAATCTACAAGAGAAGAAATAATTTTCTGTCTTAAAAGTAAGGTTGTGAAGTCTTCATACAGTCATAAAATGTAGTAACTCTTGACTGATGTGGAGAATGAAATAGAAAATGTTTAGTGTCTAAGAATGTAAGTAATAGGCAAGAATAGCTCTGTTAAGGAGCTACAGTAATTTATATCTTTTATGAATTAGACACAGAAGGAAAATTCTAATATATTCATCAATACATGGCATGAAGTTAACATGGGCAAGAGTTTGTTTTATACCTTGCAGTGTACAGCAGGTGTTTTGTGAAGGGAGGTTTGTCTCCCTCCCAGTGCACATTGATTGGAAAGGACCAAGCTAGTGGTCTCTTCCAGTTCACAAATGCCCACGGAATCTTATTTTCTAATATTATATATATCTATACATATACATAAATAAAATTTCACAGAAGACTCCATGGAGGATTTTTAGCTTGCCAGTTTTTATTTTTAATGTAATAAATACATATATATGTCAGGAAAGTTACATGCATTAGCACAACACTTATTTTTCTGTGTAGTAGTCTACCAGAAGATTCATATGAAAATGGAAGAATCTTGTATGGTTTCTTCAATCCTTTTTTTCCCTAGATGAGTTATTAAAATAATAATTGTAATACTTTATCAAAGTACGCATTTCTCAAATGTATATGGGATATGTGTAATTCATTTCTGTAGTAGCACCACAGTATTCTTAGTTTGCATATGCTGTCTTATACAAAGGGGTGTTTTACCATTTTTGGCTTTGTTATTTGGTAGCAGGTAAATTACTAAAGCTAAAATCATGATAATCATTGTAAAACTAAAGCCTTAGTCATGATATTTAAGGTAGGTTATCATATAGCGTATGGATGACAAGTAAATTGTAGCTGGTTAGTATTCCAAGAGTTTGAGGAGTTTAAAAAAGTTGTTTCAGTTGTTACTGACAGTAATTCTAATTTTTTTTTTTTTATCAAGGATATTCTGTTTTCTATATTGTTAAACCCATGATAATATTTTTCACTTTATTATTTTCAGTAAGATTAGTATTGTTACACAGCTTCTGAAATGTTTTTATTTAGTTTCTGCAGCTATTCCATTGTGTGCTTTTTGTCAACTATTGTAAGCCAAGTTTCACGCTTCAGGTCTTTAGATAATATCATCTTAGTGAGAATTTTACAGGAGGATTTTCTTGTTTTCTCAGTGGCTCAGCTAAAACCAGTGAGTGGAAAATTTTCTCAGATTGGTTTTTGAAGATACTAAATAAATCCTCTATGAATGTAACAGAAAGCTGGTTGCTTCTTTTTTTTTTTTCTCTTCTTTGCTCTTGTACTTTTTGAACATGGAGTAAGGTTCATATTGATAGGAATATCACTAAAGAAGACTAAGCCTCAGCAAGAGTCTTCCAAAAACTGGACTGAGATGAAATTGCAAGTAATACTCCAGCATTTGACACATTAAATTAAGCAGAGTTCATAACACGTTTTAAGAATAGATTTTTTTGTTGATCATTTGACCATTCCTTGCTCCTTCAGGAAGCAGACAAAGTTATAGATGATGGTGATCATGACTGGAAAAGACTGAGGTAACCCATGAAGACATGCTTTTTATAACCCTGTTGGAATTCTTGAGTCTTGTTCTTATGTTAAGTATGTGTTGAGAATCACCTATTTAAATGTACTAATTCAGTTTAGAAACTGTAATTAGGATTTACAAATACATGCTTATTCTTTAAGTCAGAATCTGATATACCTTGTAAGCATTTTTTCTTCCATAAGTATTTACTGCTTTTCCATTACATTACACTAGAATGAAGTTTTCAGTTTGTTACAGTTTTTTGTTTTGTTTGGTTTTTTTCCCAGGTTTGCATCTGCAGGAGATGATGGAATCATATTTCTGTGGAATGCTCAGGTTAGCTGTCTTTTTTAGGGGTGGCTTGTGTGCTTTGGTGAGGGTAGAAGTTGAAGAGATGAAGTAGAAATGTCTAGGAGCAAAAAAGCAGAATAAATAGGAATTGTTGCAGAGCTACTGTTTGAAAATGTAAAAGTGGAGGGAGGCTGTTAAATCTTAGTTTACAAAGGAGAGTTAGGAATGTAGAAGTTGGATGAATCCAAGGGAAGGGTAAGTTTTGGAAGGTAAATGTTATGGGATGACATAGTGATTTTAGAAAAATCATGGTGTTGAAAGCAGAAGTGTGTATGATGTTGTGGCTTTAATTACTCTTTGAAAGTATGTTTTGTGTTTGCTCTAAATGCTGAAATGCTGACATAATGAGATCCCAGACCTGGCAGGATTTTTATATACACTTTAGATTTAAGTACATTTCAATCGCTGTATTAGTAATATCTCTTTAGTATGACTGATTAATGGAGAGCTATCACAAAATTGTATTGGAAAGATACCAAAATCAGTAGAAGGTAAACATATAATGCCATGCAGGAACAGACCTTTAATTGCTTGCTGTAATAAAAATCTCCTTACAACTTTTGAAAACCTTACCTTAAGATGTTAATTTTATCGTACAAATAGTGCTCTGTGTGACACCTGCTGTTTTGCTCTTCTACTCTGTTTCTCCGTATAATTGACAAAACCATAGAGAACTGATGAGCATAGTAAGAAGTTTGAAGGGGAGACCTACTGTACCATTTATGGTGTATCAAACATTCAATTGAGGAAGAAAAAATCCCAGACTTTAAATTTTCTTTAAAATCTTCTGAAAAATTTGTGTGACATTTATAATAGTGTAATTTTAAAATACAGAAGGAGAGACTTGAAACTTTTCTTTCGAGCACCTTCTGTTAGTGCTTTGCTGGTTTTGAAGGTCTTTTATAGTTTTATAATTCTGTAATCTGGAAAAGTAAGGGGATTTGAATATTAAAACCCACGTGTGTGAATATATATGCCCAGTGTTCTGAGCAGTTTGTGAACATAAAACTCATTTGGATACCCAGCTTTATGAACTGAGTTCCATTTTCTACTTCTGTAGGACTTCTATTGTTCTTTTTAAAGCAAATCCTTGTACTTTTAATTTAAAACATTCGTCCACATCTGTCAAGAAGTTTGCAGTAAAAATTACCCTGTATTTTAGCTGCATGTTTAAAATGCTAGTTTGCTTTTGCATGTTTATTTGTAGGGTTTTGCCATTTAACTAAAATATTAGTAGAAGCAGCTGTAGTTGTCTAAAGCACCAGTTTAAATCTATAGATAATATCCATCCTAAATAAATCTGGCTGGAGTTTGGCCATAGATATAGGTCAGGTTTTTCCAATAATTAAAATTTAAAAAAAATACATTTTCAAGTAAGGGTTTCTCAAGAAATCTAAATTGCTGTAGTACTTAAATTAATTTAATACAGAGTTTTGTTCTTAAGGGCTTTTAGATGTTTTTTACTTAGAGAGTAACTTTTGTTATGTACCACTTCTTTAAATTTAACTCATAGTATGTTATTTAATTTAAGATCTTGAACAGCACTGAAGGTAGAAAGTAGTAAATCCTTAAATTACTTCTGGAAAGGAGATTTTAGACTCAAGAAGTTCTTGATTTAAAAAGTCATTTGATACCTCTATTTTGTGTTACAGTTGGCATTTTCCTATTTCAAACATAATTTTCCCTGTTTTTGTTTTTCAGACTGGAGAAAAACTTAATGAACTTCATGGGCACACACACAAAATTACAGCTATAGCACCATTTTCTTCATCAGATGTTACTGAAGAAAAAAATGATTTGATTATAACAGCATCAGCTGATAGAACAGTTATTGTATCCTTTGATCTGGGGAGAATTTAAAGTTCTACTGGCTTTTTATGGTTTTTACTTTTAAAGGTAACACTGACGCAGGTTGCATCCATCTCAAAACTTAATGGCTACCAATACCCACTAGATTTAATTGGATTACACAGGGGTTTCACTATTTATTGTTCACACGTAGATACAGTCCTTGCCACAAAAATGAATCCATAACAGGCTTTTATGAATATATCATTTAGGCCAAATATTGAAAAGACTTTCAGGGTTTAGGATACCAGGTTTCTGCAGCTCTTTCCTAATCTGTCATTTAGTTACCAGCATGACATTTACATTTATGATACATAGAAACTTTTCTGTTTCCTTAATGAATAAAGACAGGTTTGGGACTGCACTAGCGGCAGACAGATTCAGAAAGTGTCATGTTTCCATTCTACTGTAAAGGTACTGAGGAAACCCTGTGAATGTCTCTTGTTTTGTTTTTTACATTAAGTTATTATGTCTGGCTCATGGATCATGTGTGCAGGTGACTTGGAATGAACAGCATTGCTTTATTTAAGAATAGGTACATAATGAACGGCTCAGAAGTAGGCACAATTCTTAATTTGTTTTTGAAACTCTTAATATCTCAATTTTGTTTTTCAAAGGATGTAGAACAAAGGTAATGGTGTGACTTGGTTTTATTACTGTGTTGGAAAAGGCGACCTAAAACATATAAAGTTTTTGATGAAAAATTTAACATATTAGTGTGCAATTAAATATGTATTTCTCAGAGACCTTGATACTGTATTTCACAGATTTATCTAGCTAAAGCTCTTTATCATTTCACTGAGAAATTCCCTGAAGAACTTTTGCAGGAGACATATATCTGATTTTTTTTTCTGCAGTGTTTGACAGTTCTTCAAAGACTGAATGTATGGTTGTCTGGAGGGAGTGATCTATGTGTTTGGAACCGAAAATTAGATCTCTTGTGTAAGACCAGTCATCTTACTGATGCAGGTAAAAATGGAAATGACTCATTATAGCTGTTAAAGTGCAAGTAAAATGGATCTCTATAATGATGCAAAACCAACTTTTCAAATTAATTTTAATTCTAATAATAACATTATGTATTAGAGCCACTCTTTATTTTTTTAAATGTCAGATTTAATAGTTTCTGAACTAAGACTGCTTTTAATGTTCTGTGCTGTGTGAATTTTAGAATATCTCAGATCTCAGTAACTGTACATTATCTCTGACTACAGGGCTAGAGCTCAGATGCTGATTTATGTGTTTGCTGTAACATGTACCCAATCCTTTGACTGACTTCTTGTGTGATTGAGTGGGAGTTCTATTATATTTATAGGTGAAACTTTGTAATAGTAGAGCAGTAAAGATTACTTTTTGTTGTTCAGAATCAGTACTTCTGATGTAGAAAATGCATGTTTTGATAAGAGTATAATAAACTTAATCAGAAATCAATGTCAGTCATGCTTTTCTATTAATAAACTTCTATATTATCTGCCCATGTGAAGGAAATTGTTGCATGTAATTGCTGTATGTTACAAAGATGCTTACGAAGCTGTGAATTACATTCAAAAGTGGAACCAATATTGGCCTTATTTTTGTCATAGAATACATTAGCGGTAGGCAAAGTCTTCTGAATCCTTGAGAATATTAATACTTCTTTTGGTTCAGTAGGAAATATCATGCTAAATACCTGTTGGACCATGGTGCTTAAAATGAAGTGCTATTGAAACTTTGGTACAGGGAGTCAATGGAATGTGTGGCATAGGCCCTCTCTTCTTAATCTCTGACTTTGTGGAGAAAGAGGTTGCTTATTCCTTGGGTAATTTTCCTCTAGTGGTGCTTTGGCACAAGGTGGGGCAGTTCTGTGCAGGATGAAGACACATTAACAGCAAGCTGGGTATTTTATCATATGTTTTATTCTTCCTCATCTTGCTCTGCAAATTATTTTAGAAATGTGCATACTTGAGGTAGTATTACTTTCCAATAATTTTGGTACTGCTTATATTTAGAGTCACAGTAATTGTCATGGTGTTTTTAATACGGTCCAGCATTATGACATAAATATCTTAATTGTATTTAAAAAAAAAAATAAATAAAGAAAATAAAAAGATCATTTACTTTCAGCTTCACCACAAGTTTGGTGTTCAGAATTCTGCTTGACTCAGGACCGAAACTCCTGACCTTACCTCTGTTTGAGATAATCTGTTAATTTCTGGTGCCTTTTAATTTTCTCTTCAGGCAATATACTTTCGTTTTGATAAGTGGAAAGAAGATTGTTAAGAACTTTATTAATAAGGAATTAGCAGTTTGTTGTGTTTTCTTGTGATCAATTAATGTCCCTTTCTCCCTTATTTTTTTCCAAAGGCATCAGTGCTTTGGTTGAATTGCCCAAATACTGTGTTGCAGCAGCAGTTGGCAAAGAGCTAAGTGAGTATCTCACGTTTTCCAGTCCTCATGCTCGTCCATAACAGCTGCTTATCAGAGATATGTGTGAACAGCACTCTGGAATTGTATAGTAAAAATAAATGGTATTAGGCTATGATTAGCAACATTTTTTCTTTTACAATTGACAGAGAGGAGACAATACCGATTTTATTCAAAAATTTTTTAGAGATATGCATGACATGCAAAACAAAACTTTTCTATATTTAGAATCATAGAATCACTAAAATTGGAAGCAACCTCCAAGATAATTGAGTCTAAGCTTTGACCAATCACCTCTGTGCCAGACCGTAGAACTAAGTACCATGTCCAGTCATTTCTTGAACATCTTCAGGGATTCTGACTCTTCCACATCCCTGGGCAACCCATTCCAAAGCCTAACTATCCTTTCTGTGAAGAAATTCTTTCTGATGTCCAGCCAAGATCTCCCCTTGGAATAGCTTGAGGCTACTAAGTGATGAAGTCTCTCTTTACTCAGTGCTAAACAACCCAAGCTCTCTTCTCATAAGACTTGTGCCCCAGACCCTTCACCGACTCTGTTGGTGTTCTTTGGACACACTCCAGCACCTGAATATCTTGTTATGAGAGATGCAGCACTGAACACAGAACTTGAGGTGTGGCCTCAAATGGCTGTTGTGGCCTCACCAGTGTGAAGCGCAGGGGGGCAATCCCTGCTCTGGTCCTGCTAGCCACATTATTGCTGGTACAGGCCAGGATGCCACTGGCCTTCTTGGACACCTGGGCACCCACTGACTGTTGTTGGTCAAGCAGGACCTGTCTTTCTTAACCCCATGCTGTCTGGGCCTGATTTCCTGGTTGTCCTGTATGTGCTATGTGGTCACTCTCAAGATAATTTGTTGTATCATTTTACCTGGCACTGGGATTAGGCTGACAGGTCTGTAATTCCCTCAGTCCTTCCTACAACCAGTCGTGTAGATGGGCATCACATTGGCCACTGGGACCTCCCTGGTTTACAAGGACTGATGATAAATGACAGAGATTAGCTTGATGAGCTCCTTGGTCTACTTCCTCATTGTCAGTGCTGCCTGTCCACATCTGATTGTGACAATTTACATTTGTTCTTTTGGAGAGGGTCTGGAGCTGCTTACCCAAGCTGTCAGATACTCAGATTCTCTAGAGCCTTCTTGTCCCAGGGTCTGAAGTATGAGGTGTTGATGGTCTCTTACTATCCAAAGCTATAATGAGTAGCTTTTGTAGTACTCAAGATAGAAATTCCAAGACTGATGAAAATAAAGTCTTAATTTCTGACAATACTGATTTCCTTACTAGAGAATATTGCATTTTTTTTGAATATTAATGTTTCAGATACACGAGTCTTCAAGAAACATGTTTCACTTTTAGTAATTTTTCCATAAAGGTGTCTGATACTTTTCACTTCTGGTGTTGACCAGTTCTCTGACTTTCAGAGTTACTAGGCGGAAGTGTTTTTTTCTGTATTTGCTGTGGTTAAGATGCCTAACTGGTAACACTGAAATAACTGCTTCCTGTTTTTTGATGTTATGAGTGATCATAAGTGGGTCTTATATGGTCTCACTTGTAATGTTTAATTTGTGTGTCTGAAAAATGTTTTATTTAAACATAGTTCCATCTTATTCCAAATGAAAAGGCTTGTTTAGGCAATTTTTCTATCTTTGCAGTAATTTTTAAGTTGAGTGCTTCTAACAATGGGTCTGAAAGTTGGAATATCCTTGAAGTAAAGCGCCTTGTTGACCATCAGGATAATATTTCATCTTTAGTCAGTGTCAATGGTAAGAGTAATTTTATGATTTTACTGGTTTTGTTAGTTACCAGTAGGATGTTTCATCTATAAAGTTTTTATTTGAACCAAAGTTTTAACTGGAAACATATTAACTAGTAGATGTACCTTTTTTGTAGCTGCAAAGGTAGTGATAGGACAAAATATAATTCCTTTGTTCATGGATTAACAATGAAATGAAACCAGGCAAGTTGTAATATAGAAGAGTCAATGTCATTGATGGAAATGGAACTCTTGGTCTTTCTGCTGGGAAAGTTAAAAATGCTATTTTTTTTTGTCTTGTTCCTTCTTAGTCTTTAAATGGAATATGCAATGCCATGTCCCTTGCAGTTGTAGTCCTAAGGTAACTGAAGGTTTTGAGTGTGCAGATGTGAGCCTGCATATAGATCCATTATAGAGATACAAAGCTGATACTATCTATGCTGCTCATTAGAGTAATACTTAACTAATACCTGAAATTCTGTCTACTTTGCTGCAAGTATCAGCAAGTCTTTTTTTTTTTTACGGAGCATCCGCACAGACCAGGAATAGGTATTACTGTCAGGATAGAGAGTGTGTATTTATCTGTGCGTGTATCTATGTCTGCCTGGTTACAAAAAGGCGTCGTGTTACAGAGGTAACAAGAGGCTGAAAAAAAGAAAGTTTGGATTCTATGGTACATGTTTCTGAGCTAAAGTGTTGCCATTATTTTCTCCTTTTTGATTATGAAATCAAAGCAATATTTGGCTTAAAAAGACAAGATGCTACCTGCATTAAATACTGTTGTAGAAGTTCTTTTCCATGTGTGATAAATTCAAAATGAGCAGATACTTCAATATTGCCATTAACTCATTCATTCCGTTTGTGATCAGAATTTCTATTTATGGCAAAGAAATACATTATTGTGTCTGGGGGATGACTGTACCTTTGCTTCTCCAAGGAATAGAAGGGCTTTGTATGTAGAAATGAATTTCAAATATTTGTACACACTTCTGGTCGTGTTCCTTACCTTTGCAACTGTATACTGTGCACTGTTGGCAGTGAATGTTCTACTTCCTAGTTATAATTTTACAGGAGAGCTCGTCTGAGCTATACTAGGTAATTAGATGAGTATTTACTCAGAGAGAGAGGTTTTTGTCCAGTCAGTTATGTATGACATTTTACATAGCCTTACATATAAATGGGCTGTCTTCCCTTTCTAGGGTTGTAACTTCGTGTAAAATATATTTTTTTTAATATCATGTGATTTCTATGTGTGATTTTTTTTCCCTTCAGATTTGACTTTTGTGACAGGTTCTCACATAGGTGAGTTAATAGTTTGGGATGCACTTGACTGGACAAAGCAGGCATCTGAGTGCAACTTCTGGGACTCCTCTGTCCATCCAGATGTACAGCCAGAAATAAAGTTATCCCAAACCCCACATGAAACTTCAGTGCAACACTTAACATCTGACGAGGAGGTAAAAAGCTTCAGAGTAAATTACCTTAAGTAAGGTAGGATGATCTTACCACAGAAGACCTTGAGTGGTTCCTATTTTCAGTTTCCTTTTTTTAATGAGAGGCTTCATTAGCACAGTTATTTTATATGGTCAACGGTTTTTATAAAATACATTGGCATTGACCTATATGAAGAGTTTAATATGTTGATGGTATGGAAACTAATGTAATGGAGTGTCACAACAGCATTTCTCTTTGACCAACAAAGATTTATTATTTGTTTACAATACCACTAGAGAAAAATAAATATGGGTGCATGTTTTGATGGCACACATCTTTCGTATTCCAGTTTTTGGAAATAACAGTTTTCCCAATAATGCACCTGTTTGAGCAGTTACAGCTGAGATAACTATAAGAATGCTGGGGGGTACTATTTAAGAGCAGGCATATGTCTATGCTTAGTAGTAAATCAGTATTGCTGTTTCTGTTCAGGTAGACTATACAGAATTGTATACTCAAATATGTTTCCAAGATTCTGTCTACTATTGCCATGCTTTAGAGATAAGGTCTTGGTCAGAATACTCAGTTAGAACTCAGTTATTGTACAGCAAACACTAAAAATACTCAGGTCGATATTTAATTTCATGAAACGTTACCAACTGTTGGTCACAAAATAAAAGATCTTTCATTGTTGGGGTACAGTGGGATTTAGTTTGAGGCATGTTGGTCAGTTATTGGAAATGATTAAGGAAGAGATTCTTGGAAATGGATTCAGATATATAAGCTGTAACAAAATAATGGCTGTGGAAAAGCCTGAATATAGGGTAAGGACCAAATAGTTGCCTGATGCATTTGCATCTTTCTGAATAGAACTTTTCCTAAAACCCTGGAGAGAGAGAGAAATATTGTGGCATATGGGGGGGTGCTAAAAAAGATGTGGTTGTCTTTAAAGGTGGGATTTTCAGTGGTTTTGTTGTCAGTGTTTATTTCTACAATGAGCCAAAAGTGAATTTTGTTTAGGATAAGTTCTGCAATTTGGCTTCAAAACACTTCCATTCCATGCTTGAAAATGATGTATGATGTGTTTTAAGGAAGTAGAAAGGATTTTGGAAAGTCAGAGATTGTCAAAACATTCAGTGTGGAATCTGGGGGTGCTGAAGACTTTCTTCCATTCATGGAACTGAACTAAATTAATTGCTATGGTTTTTTTGTGGTTTTTTTTCATTGTGAGAGTTTTGAGTGATGTTAAAAAAGGTGGTTCTAGTGTTACATACCAAAAGAGATGGTGCTTTTAAGGTAGTGCTGTCTGTTTTGTAAAGCTCCTGCTTAAAAGGTGGTGCAGAAGTGTATTTGTGTAACGTATTATTTTGTTACCTGCTATCTCAAAACAGAACACCGTTCTTCATGTTAAAAAAACTTGACTTGGTAGTTAGGTAGTTGGAGAAGATACACTTGTCTAGTTTGACACTGAGCTTATAAGCAAAACATGATTCTGAAACAAATGGGATGATAAAGGTTTTCAAAACTAGGAAACAGTGCTAAAGAGTGCATCCGCTGTCCTGGTATGTGTGTGTTTAGCTTGCCTTTTAATAGCAGTGTACAATTTATGCTTCATGTGTTTTATTTTCTTGGATTTTGAGATGACCAGGATTTTGCCAGGGCTTGTGAAAAAAGAAGAGTGCTCCATGAAGAGCATGTTTTGCAGAGCTGTAAGACTGTATGGCTCAAGGCGGAAGAGTTATGTGGAAGGCCACTGAATTTGAACCTTCCGCGAAAGTAGGATAATGGACTCAGTGGTTTGGTTTTTTGTCTTGACTTGGAAATGGCACTATGAGAAATCTGTTCAGTTTCAGTGTTTCCACAGCAGTTTCACATAAGGAAAAGAAAAGAATAAAAACCTGGGCAAAGACAAATGTTTGACAAAAACAATGTCAAAACATTGTTGAATATACAGAGGAAATTTTAGTCAAAGACTCTAGGTTACAAGTTGTACAAAATGTTGACAAGACATGTAGCGTGAATTTTATATGAGATGTTAATGTTTGGGTGGTGTAAAAGGAAGCAGGCTGTTCAGGGAAGTGTTCCAGCACACTGTCATCTGAACAAGGTATGTTAAAATCTGCAAGTATATACTGAATGGAAAGATTTTGCATTCCTGTGGTACTGAATATTAATGATGATATTACACAGGATTGTATACGTGTTCTCTTAAAGTTCATCGCAAGTCATGAAGCAGTCCAGGTCCAAATATCTCTAAACCATTTCCGGAGCCTTAGGGACATGATGATTATGAGATATATGATTGGAATGCCTACACTCTTTTGAAGAAGAAGATTGAATGCAAAATGCAGTATTGTGTAATACTTCACTGTGAGAGAGTTCCTTTTCTGTATTCAGTAGAGCCCAAATGCTTTAGCAAGGCCTCTTTATCCATCTCTATCCTCAGTTAAATTTCGAAAAAAATCAAGAATGCTGAACAGTTTCCTGTATTCTCAGTGTTTCTTGATAAAACGAGAGTTTTTCAAAACATGGGACATTATTTTACTTTAAGAACATATGCATTTAATTACAGAAATGTCTTGATTTGTTGGTATCTTTAGTTTCTGCTTAGACTCTGAGGTACAGGATAAAAATACAGACATTAAATTACTGCTTAAGTATAGAATTATATCCCACATTTACTTTAAAAAATCCATCTCTTTTTATAATTTTCTAATTTAATATGTTTGGGATAAAGCAGTAACATGAGGGCAGAAACAAGCTAGGTCATAGTATTGCTGGAAATCCATTTTATGCAAGGTGATCCTTCAGTATCTGATTCTGTAAGTTGTTCTATTGAATTTTCTTTCCAGTGTGTGTTTGCTGCTGTTGGCAAAGGCATATACGTATATAATCTTCAAATGAAGCGTGTGATTGCCTGCCAGAGAACTGCTCACGACTCCTCTGTGCTGCACATTGAGAAGCTTCCAAACAGGTACAAAACATAGTGCATTTTGTTAATGTAATAAAGAAAAGCAAAACTTGAAAGGGTGACTAGAGACAGACTGCAAAACTACATTGGCTTTCTAGGGCAGGGACTTGATCTTCAATTTGAGCTGCTTTTGTTAGGTAGAGCTTGTTAATATGATTTTGGAAAATTTATCATTGTAATTCAGTGGGAAAACCTGTGTTTCCAGTATGACTGGTACACAGGCTGAAAAGAGCTATTTTCAAAATGATGCAGCACTGATGAAGCACTTTTGTCTGTAGTGTGAAAATATAGTTTAATTGCATTTTACTTCTAGAAAGCCAAGGCATACAGCATATTCAGAATATATTTTTCACTAAATACTTTGTAACACTTGAAATGTTCTAACAAAAATTAATAACTTGCAGTTTTTGTTTGTTAGAAATTTAGTTTGTCAGGATTTCTAGCTGGAACTTGTTTTGACAGCCAACCTGGACAAGTTGCCACATATATATGTATATGCTAATAGCAGTGTTAGATCCCATTATATATTCTTGTTCAGTGGGGCGAAGTCTGCCAGAAGATAAAAACTGAGGCCTTGGTCTTGTAAATGTGTGTGTTCTAAGCTGTTCTAAATGTGTCATGAAACAGAGTAGCTATCCTTTCATTATTTTTCTGTAAGAAAAAGTAGTGTTTTGCTTAATGAAAGAAAACTTATAGAAACCAACTAGTGGAACTGTGTTTGCAGAGTCTAGACTGGTTATGTTTTGGTTAACATAGTGGTATGCTTTTAGTATGGGGTTTAAAAGGTTTATTTTTTCCACTTATTCTACAAGTCTATTATAGTTTGTTCTGTTAATGAATTTTGTTTTCTGTGGAACATCTGCACACCCTGCTACATTTAACAGTTCTAGTAAACTTGTGTGGAACCTGAAGCACTTACTGTCTTTCATAGAAGCATCACAAGATGATTTGCACAGGTAAGTATCCATGCTAGTGCTGCTTATCAACTGTTTTTACAGGCAGCTGATCTCCTGTTCAGAAGATGGCAGTGTGCGCATTTGGGAACTCAGAGAAAAGCAGCAGCTGCCAGCTGAACCAGTTTCAACAGGTTTGCTAGTAGTGGGGACTGAAAGGAACATTTAAAAACCCAATATTCACCATACAGGAATAGAGAAGCTTTCAGGCTTTGTAAAGAGAGACACTTGTGTGTAACCAACTGATCTCAGGTGTGGGAGGGAAACTGAAGAGAACATGGGTGTACAAGTCCTCCAGGATCTGATATGGGATGGTAGGAGGTCCAGCTGAAACAATTCTGTTTCATAGCCATAAAGCTTACTTTGACTTCACAGTTGTATGAGCTGGTTAAAAGAAATGACCTGACAAACCTTCATCCTTTCCTCCTTGTACCAAACAGTACTGAATTCTAGTACCATACAAGAGTGAATAGTTGCAGGACCTTGTGATGAAACCTTGCAGATAAGCAGCTGGCACCAAAAAGAAAGTGTTTTCCATGTCTCCTCTTTGAACTTGGAATGATATTGGGACTTAGTTTGAATTTTCATCCAAACTCACATACTGCGCTGCAGTCCTCAGAGCTAGTTGCTAGTGTTACAGGAAGCATTTTCCCCAAGTACAGATATTCACAGAATCACAGAATGGATAAAGGTTGGAAGGTACTACAGTTGGTCATGTGGTCCAGCCTTCCTGCTGGAACAGGTTGATCCTGGAGCATATGGCACAGGATTGTGTCCAGATGGTTCTAGAGTATTCCCAGTGATTCGCAGTGATTGCCCAGAGGTTCTGGAGTATCCAGAACCTCTGGGCAATGTGCTCGGGTGCTCAGTTACCCACACAGTAAAGAAGTTTTCCACTTATTCAGGTGTAACTTCTTGTGCATCACTGTCTGTACATTACCTCTTGTCCTACTACTCAGCACCTCTGAGAAGAGCCTGGTCCATTGTCTTGTACCATTGTCCATTGTTTTGGTACCCTCCCTTCAGATACTGATAGACATTGATGAAGTCCCCTCTCAAGGCTGATCAGGCCCAGTTTCATCAGCCTATCCACATGCTCCAGTCCTCTCATCATTTTTGGAGCCTTCTGCTTGACCTGCTTGCTTGTCCTGAGGAGTCCAGAACTGGACACAGCACTCCTTCGGAGACCTTGCAAGGTCTGAGTACAGGGGCAGGATGACCTTCTATGACTGGCTGGCAATGCTCTTCCTAACGTCCCCCCAGGATCCCATTGGCCTTCTTGGCCACCAGGACACTCTGCTGTCTACCAGGACCCCCAGGTCCTTCTCCTCCAAGCTGCACCTCAGCAGGTCAGCCCCAGGTGCTTGAGGTTGTTCCTCCCCAGGTGCAGGACCCTGCATTTGCCTTTGCTGAATATCAGATGGTTCTTCTCTGCCCGTCTGTCCAAACTGCTGAGGTCCTTCTGAAGGGCTGCACAGCACTCTGGGGTGTTGGCCATTCCTCCCAGCTCTGTGTTCTCAGTCTGAGAATTTGCTGAGGAGGCACATTCCACCTTTTACAAGTCAAGGATGAACAAGTTAAACAGTTCTGGGCCCGGTATTGAACCTTGGGGGACACTGCCAGTGACAGGCCTCCAACTGTGCCACTGATTTTGACCCTCTGGGATGTGTTGTTCAGGCAGTTCTTGATCCACCTCACCTCACTGTCCACTCATCCAGCCCACATCCCTGAGTTTGTCTATGATGATGTTGTGAGAAACAGTTGAAATTCCTGCTGAAGTCAAGTAGACAATAGCCACTATTTTCCCCTCATCCATCCAAGTAGTTGTTTCATTGTAGAAGGCAATTGGGTTGGTCAAACATGACTTACCTTATGGAACCCATGCTGCCTATTCCTGATCATCATCTTGTCATCCATGTGGATAGAGATGGTCTCCAGAATGAAGTGCTCCATCACTTTCCCAGGGATTGAGGTGAGGCTGACTGGCTGCTAGTTTGCTGGGTCCTCTTTCTTGCCTCTTTTGGACAGGGTGATGTTTGCTTTCTTCCAGTCCTCAACATCTCTCCTGATCTCTGTGACCTTTTAAAGATGATCATGAGTGGCCTTGTAGTGGTGTCCACCAGCTCTCTGAGCACTTGTGGATGCATCCACTCAGGGCTCGTGGACTGGTGAATGTCAGGTTTGCCTAGATGGCTTCTAATCTAATCCTCCTTGACCAAGGGAAAGTCTTCCTTCCAACATTCCTTTACCCTGGGCTCCTGGGCCAGAGAATACTGGGGGCTGGTCTTGTCAGTGGAGACTGAAGCGAAGTACCATACCTGACTTCTCTGCATTCTGGTCTACCAGGGTCCCTCCTTCCATTTAGTAACAGGCCCACATTAGCCTTAGTTTTCCTTTTGTTCTTGATGTGTGCCCTTCTTACTGTCTTTGACATCCTTAGTCAGTTTTAATTCCAGATGGAATTAAAACAATTAAAACTTGTCTCATTTTTCTTTACTCTGACAGCCTCTCTATGTTCATTTCAAGTGGCCTGACCTGCTTCCATCTCCTGTGTATTTCCTGCTTATGCCTGAGTAATGACAGTTCCATTGTAGTACTTGCTACTCTTTTTGAGCATTTCCCCTGCACACTGGCGGTTGTGGTCTGCAACAGGTACTCTGGACAATGTAATTGCTATCAAGGACTGGAAACAGCAACAGTTGCTATTGTTGCTCTTCTGTACGAATCCTTTTATTCAAGGTGTGAATAATTTTCTTGATGTATCTTGTCTACCTGGCTGTTCATCTCTTGTTAGTTTCTTTTGAAAATACATTTTTGCTGCCTAGGTTGATTTAGAAGCACTTTTTCAGGATCTTCTGTCTTCAGCATTGCTGATGACAGGCTGATCTACACAGTGACAAGTAGTATTTGGTTTCACATTAGAAGTTTGGAAAGAGCCTTAGGGAGATACTGCTGTTGATTTGCGCTATTTTTATTCTAGGGATCCCACAAGAAGTTGTTCATCTCACCATCTATCTGCCTTGCACCGTGACCACAGTTTAGCACAATTCTAGTTTTATGTGCTGGTAGGGCTGAGGGAAGAATTTGGAATAAAGTCTGAACTGCATTGTCAACAGAACCCAACCTTCTTACTTGTGTTAGTACTATTACACAGTTCTGGGGGCTGTGGCTGTGTACTTTTATGCAATCTAAAGGGAACATATGGAATGTCATCTTTGCACACCACATTGGCTGATAGTTTTAAACCTGAAGGAAGGAGGCAATGAGACAGCACTTAAATGCTGTAGTGCAGAACATACAGAGGAGAGATTGGTGCCTCCTTTCTGTGCTCTTTGTACAAGTAACAATTTAGGAGGGCAGAGAAAAGATAAACATCACTTTTTACACCTACCTTTGCTGTTCAGTTCATTCTTTCAGCAAGTCTTTGTATTTGTTCCTAAATCTGTGTATTGTGTCACCCATGTGTGTAATTCAGAATGTTTTCTTAATTTACATTAAGTGGGACAAGTAGCTATGTTTCCTTCTTCCCTCCAGATGAATAATCCAGATGCTAAAGGGCTGCACAGTACAATGCTTCTGTCTTTTTGCCATACAGAGTGTCCTGCTTTTAGATTTTATGTGCTTTTGTACTTCTCTCTTTAAGCTAGAAGAAATAAATAGTATTTATGATTTTTGCCAAAATAAGACTTTAATTTTTTTTTTTCCCTCTCAGGGTTTTTCAACATGTGGGGATTTGGAAGGGCAAACAAGCAGGCAATCCAAGCTGCGAAGAAGATGCATGAGAATACACCTGTGTATTTCTTGGAGCTGGTTGGTGATTTGATTGGTCATTCATCAGCTGTGCAGGTAGGTCAGTTTTAGTAAGAATGAGAAAAAGTGAATGTTAGTAAGTAACATAAATGTGACAGCGTTTCTTGAATTGTAACTTCTGACTGTCTGGCTCTGGAGGCTAGGAGCATATTGTTTGTGTGGTATTTTTCGTGCAGTGTGGAAACAGTAATTCATGCTGACTTAATATATTAATAACAATTCACTCACTCATGCCTGAGGACTGTGTTTGTACATATACGCTAGAGATAATCTGACAGAGTATTTGGCTTTATTTATAGACTGCAGACAATACAGCTGGGAACCATGTACATGACTCAGATTTCATCTTAAGTTTGCAATCTAAATAAGGGCTCCTGCAAAAACAACCAAAACCAAAACACACTGAGTAATTTCTTGGCCCTCTGTGCTGTGAGCATTAGGGAGGTCTTTTAACTTAAGCAGTACTACCAGTATTATTACTCCTTTTGTCTGCCTAAAGTAGTTTCCTCCACACTTTTCTGTGACAACCTATTGGAGTAACAAAGCACTTTGTTACAGTGGACTTCTACGTACATTCTTGGCAGGAGCAGGGGGAAGGGCAGCTAGAAGGGGATAGTGTGGTTCTGGAGCAGCTTTGCTCACAAGCATTCGTGAGACAATCTGGATTTCAGAACTGCTGCTGCTAAAACATGAATGCTTTTCTTTAATAGCTAAGGTGAACCTTTCTGCTAAAGAGATTTCCACAAGGCTTTCTGTCCCTTTCTGCCATCTTTCTTTTGAAAAACTGTTGGAAGGGGTCTCATTAGCCACTTGGAAGGTTGCTATCTAAGAAAGAGGACATAGTGTGTAATTCAGCAAGAGACACAAAGAAGGTGAGAGGCTTATGTTGGGTCTTGTCTGAGACCCAACTCAGACTCCTTTGCAGAGCAAAGGAGTAATAGAGATGGAGTGGATGTGGTTTCCTGCAATGTTCTATGTATGGAAAATTCTGGTTTTTTTTAAAATCAGATGGGAGCTGTTGAGGAAGAAAATGTTGAGTAGTGGTGTGATGGCCAAGGTGAGGGCTTGTCAGACTCTGCTGGAACTCCGTAGCTGTTAAGTGACCATTCCCAGGGCAGGTAGGCTTTGGCTTGAATGCTTCTGCCAGACAGATCCCTTTAACAAACTGAAGAATCAGGGCATTGTGAGCATGCCATAGTGACATCACTGGTTCCATTTGCTGTTGTGTTGAACTGCAGTTAGTGGTTAATTTTGCAGTTTTGTGAAGGTAACAGAAGTTAGGGGTTAACTCATGATTTCTCAGCTCCATTGGTTTTGCAGGATCCTTCTGCTGGTGCTATACTTCCTTCCAGTGTTGAGTTTCTTGCTTGTTTGACTTCCTCTGTGTGACTAGGCATGTACTGATGTCTGTCACAGCTTTGGTCTTTCCAGGCCTGCTGCTAGTACCTTACTGTGTTGTAGGGGGCTCAGTGTAACCAGTGAACAGAGCACTGTGGCTTCTGTTCCCAAGAAACCAGACCAGAGCTGATGCAAGTCATTCACACTTCTACTGCTGAACTACTTGCTACAGTTTCTTCAGGATTCTGTCCTTTAGCTTCCCTATCTGTAAGGCTTTACTGTTTTAGATGGAGATCTTTCAGTATGAAGTGCCTAAAGAGTAGCAATGTTAAAGAGTTGTTCTGCATAGCAGTTAAATGGCATCTCTAACATACAGACAGTATGTAATTTTGTATTCCCATCTATAAGCAGAGCCATTTCAGATACATGTATTTGTTTAGTGCAGCTGTACACTAAATAATTAAGCAAGCTGACCATCTCATGCAAACATCATGGTAATAATAGTTGTTTCATTGCAGATGTTCCTGTACTTTGGTGAACTGGGATTGGCTACATGCTCTGCTGACCACCTCATTATTTTGTGGAAGGATGGTGAACGAGAATCTAGCCTCCGCAGTTTAACACTATTTAAAAAATTGGCACAAAACGGTGATTTGCAGCTCAGACTTTAAATTGTTTGAATACAGGCTGCATATATGTAAACTGGATGTGTGTCAAACATGAGTGTAAAGGTATGTCTGAGCTACTGGAAATCTGACTACTAGTAAGGCTTACACTTAATATCATGTGTTATATTGAACTTCTCTTAGTTGTTACTCTTCTCAAAGGAGAATTTTGCATTTTGGTATGCTCTGTCAGTAGAAATGGTGTTCTCTTGAAAGACTGAAGGTAATGATGATTCATTAAATAGTTTCTAATATTATTCCGAATGTTTAAAATTGTCATGAATGAATGTCAAAATTAAGAATTGTGAAATACTTTAGATGGATCATAATTAAAGCAGTTGAGGGCATCCAGAGTGCTATGTGCTGGAAGAAGGCATGGGAAGAAATCTGCAGCTTCCTCTTTCATCTAGTTTATTTCTAGAAGCTGAACTTTCCTCACTGATGGCTCAGATTCGTGTGTATACAGAAATCATTCTCAAATAGAAAATTTGCATTTGACATTAATATCCTGCACCAATGGTAAGAAAAAGAAAAAAAAGGTAGGTAATTCCAACCTTTTGTTGGTTTGTCAGGTTTTAATTTTTGGCAAACTGAGGTACATAGAAACTATTTACTAGTAGTAGCTGCAGTTTTACTTGGATTAGCCTACATTATTAGAGTTTATAAAGCACCATTACCAAGTCTAGCATGCAGTGTGATTAGTTTAGCTTTGTCTTTCCATAGTGCATTCATCAAATTAATTTATATCTAATAAAAAGCATTTGCCTTACCATGAATTTTTAGAATGTAAAATACTTTCTTAAGCAATTGGAGTTGGTATGTTCAGTAGTAGTGAAACATATGAATACTAAATTCTCAGCTGAAGTCTGACTCCAGAAAAATCTGCGCCAAGTTTGTAAGGGTAAATAGTATCTCAGAGTTAAAAAATAAGTATCTAAGTACATAGGTAGTAAGAGTCCGAAGTAGAAGCATCTAAATAGGAGTAGGGAAAGAAATGCAAACTAAAACATAAAGCTCAAACCTCAGCAACAAAAACACAAAAGCAAAAAATAATCAGGAGACAAACATGAAAATAATCCCCTCCCTCCCCCACCCCAGCAACAACAACAAACCCAAAAAAATGAAGCAATGTTAAACCCAGAGCTGATACAAAGGAAGTGTGAGGGAGTACAAGATAATGAGCGGTACATTACTATTTGAACAGAGAAGAGCTAGGGAAAAGGGGAAGTTTGTGAATTTAGTGGGCATAAAACCATGTAGAAGAGGGTGCTACTATCCTCAGATCTACTCAGAAGATACAGCACTTAAATGGTGTAGGAATAAGTCTTGTACAACTTTTCAGTGCCATCTCTTCCCTTTGAATCAATGAAAATTGTTATGGGTACAGGAAACTACATGGCTGTGATTCCAGACTTAAAGTGGTTGCAGTAAGTGCGATTAAAAAGAAGGGCTAAGCAGATTCTTGAAAGAGCAGAAGCAAAAGGAGAAAGCTCCTAGTTTCCTAGAAGAAACCAAAGAGCCTTTTAGACTTGCATCCCCCAGCAGAAGTGGGCACTTGGCTTTCTCCTACCACTCAGAAGCCTACCTTTGCTTTTAGAGTTGTCTTATGAGACAGTAATCTTCTCTGGAAAGAAGGGCAGAGGGGCAGTAAGATTTTGAGTTGTAATTTTCCCCTACCTTAGTCAAGTTGTACAGCTAATCTTACTTGAGTATAGAGCTCAAAATAATATATTTCAAAATCACAAAACAGATGGAGGGATTTTTAAATTACCCTCTCCTTTCAATTCAGGGAGGCTAAATCAGTGTTAGAGCTTGAGCTGCATGTTCTTTGCTAAGGCTGGCTATTCTGTTGACCCATGTAGGAAAGGCATTTGGATTACAGCTGAGGATAATGTGCCTTTGGATACATGGTATTAACTTGAGAGAGGAAAGCATGTTAAGTTTATATTGCTTCAGCTTGTCTTCAACAGCTCATGTTGCATTTTTGGCTTACCCAGGAGAAGCTGGGGAGATAAAACCTTTCTTTGGATCTTTCTTCCTTTTTTTAATTGCTAAATAACTATTTGGTTGTATATAGTGCTCGTTTATACACATAGTTATGACACCTTTACAGAGAAAGCTTATAAAACTTAGGTTTTTCTGGAGAGCCTCCTGCTATCACCAATTATAACTAGAGAGAATGAAGATCATATTTTTATTATATCTTCTTGTGGCATGAGAACAACTATTTCCTTTTTATGTTACTGCTTTTAAGTGAATACCTGGTAGAGAAACAGACCTATTAAACTGAACAGTTCTAGTCACAAAACTCACTGTGCATTTTATGGGAATGTAATTCAGCTTTAAACAGTCCTACATGCATATATATTTATATTTATCAGAAGTGCAAATGTTCTCAGATAAACTCCGTGTTCTCAGATAAACTCCATTGGCAGTAGATCTTCCAAGGGTCTCTTCTTTTAAAGATGGTTGACTTAAAAGTACTGAGCTCTTTGTTATACAAATGAACTTTAAGTGTAACAGGGAACATAGGTATATATTCCACTCCTTTGTTATATGAGAGTTTGTCACTTGCTGTTGGGAGATGCAGTGAGCGTAATTATGGTGACCAGATGAGACTTTTTACATCTAACTGATGTCCTAAATTTTTTTCCACCTTCAGTAACACTGAATTCCATATATCCACCTCATGGAAGTAATTATCTTTATCAGACCTGCTCTCAATACTTTTGCAACTCTGAGGTGGCTGTTTTACACCTGTGCACTGACAACAGCATGAAACAAGCAGATGTTAGTCTAGATGAGTTATAGTCTGGACGAGTCCAGGAGATCTGACACAACTGGCAGATGATGACTAATCTGTGCTGGTTTGTTTTGCTATTAAAGAGGACCTATAGCCACACAAATTGCTTTTCTTTTTTTTTTTCTTTTTTCTTGTCTGACTGTGGGAAGAAACACAATATCCTGCAACAAATATGTTGATTCTGTATTAATACTTTGGCCTCAGTTCTGGTTCACAAGTTGAACTTTATTTTTTTGATGCCTTCCACTGTTGACATTTTGTTCTGTGTGACAGAAGTGTGACAAAAATTATGAATTAAATGTTTCACATGGATGTGGTCTTACAATGTTGCTGTATTTAACAAATTAAATTAACAAAGCTTAAATCTTGGGAAATTCTCTTCTCTAATGCAAGCTGCAGTGAATGTTCAGTTATCAGCATAGTTAAGGTACAATCACCAAGAGCACTAGTCCTAAGTAAAGAAATGTTAAAAGCGAACAGTATACAGTATTAAAAAACAGAGGTTCAACTTCTCTGAATAAAAATCCACTGAAGAATGTTGCCATAAATAACAGGAAAGAATGAATAACCATGCTTCACCAGAAACACCATTCTTCAAATATACATGATGCGACATTTTAATACACAGCAACCTGCCTTGGCTATGACAAAAGTAAGGATCTGTTACCATTCTAACAAAAATATAGCTTCTATACATTTTTCTGCACATACATTTTATGAATGTTGCCTTTTGTTTCAGAACTTGGTACAAAACATACAAAAAAGGTTGGCACATATGTAAGCTACCTGCAGTAAACAGCATTGTCACTATTCTTCCATAGCAGTTTATGCTGTTTGTTTTTTTTCCCCTTTTCCTTTACCCGGTTTGATTTTTGATATAGCACAGGGTAGGTGGACTGCTTCTTTAACTGCAGCCACAGCTTTGACAGTCTTGCTTGCAGCCTGGAGTGCACAGTGTTAAAAATAAGCACTTCTGCTAGTATTTATTTACTGAATAGTCTGAGAATAGTCTAAAATTTAAACTTATGTTCTGCATGCGATTAAAATGAGATGTACAAAAATATGCATTTGTGCTTTGAAAGCCTTAGCATAAATTCTGTATCTTAGAACTAATGAAGAACTATGTTTGATTTCCAACTGATTTACATATTTCAAAGTACTTCTTGCATCACAAGAACAAACAGTATTTTATTAGGAGGATAAAGCAGTACAAATTATAATGCTTTTATAAATTATAGCCTGAAAATTTTTTTAAAAAGTGATAGGTTCACCCAAGAAGTAGCACAATAAATGAACTTGCCATAAAATTTAGGTCAGTTTCATAAAAGTGATGACCATGTTTACAAACACCATTTTTATAAAAAAGGATGGGGATCAAGTGCCACAATAATTTTTCATGTAAAATTTGGTGAAAACTTGTGTGATAACATCTGCAAGATGGCAGAGAATCATGTGGATGGCACTATCTAGACAGAACATGCTTATTTTCCTGTATTATATGATCAATTTTAGAGAACATCGACTCTTACCAAAATTTCATATGGAAAAGAAAGAACAGGTGGGGCTCTGAGAGAGTCTCAGATAATAATAGGAAGGTTGTTTTAAAAGGTGTCATGTTTGGGTTTTTTATGTATCCAGTTTATTAAGGTTTACTTGTTTTGCTGTGCATGTTCTCTTTAGAAGTAAGATTCAGAGAGCTTAAGAACGTTGATAGAATTGAAACAAATTCATGCTAGATAAGTGGGAAGTTTCTATCCTTATTTGTCAGGCTATTCTTACTCTCCTGGTGACTAGATTATCCCTCTCTCTGAAAAACAGTTGTGTGAAGCGTTAGTGAATACAGTTGTATCAACTACAAGATTCAAGAAGTGCATATTCAGTATTAGAAACTAGTTTCAGAAGTACATTTTCTGCCACAAAATAGTATTTCCAAAGAGCACTTAGTCATCTGTGGTTTATATAGCCTCTAAAAACATTTTTCTATAGAATTCATAGAAGCTTAAAAATGAGTAAAGTATTTCCTTCTTGTCACGCAGTCTTAATTTCACTGGAAAAGCAACATTAATCCCCTTTGTAGCCAAGTGTTTCTGTAAGTGATTCACAGTGAAACTGGTAGAGCAAGAGGTCTGGTTCTCTTGACTTAGTGTCAGTTGTTGTTTTCTGATGGGAGCCTGAGACTCTTGCACTTCAAATCATCCAGTGTTTTCCAGTGTTTGTAGTTATTAGCCAAGTGTTGCATCAAAACAGGCAGATGTGCAAATGCTGAAAGAACAGGGAAAAGTGTTTTACAGGCAGAAGAACAGCCAAGGCTGATCTGAAATTGGCATTCTCCTACTCTCTTTTGTTCTTCCATTCCTTAAAGTAATACTAAAAGGGAAAATATTTTTTTTTAGTGTGTTTCTGTTTCAAGAAAATCCCTTTCCAAATGCATGGTGATTTTATTAAATTAAGCTAACATGCAGTCACGGTGATCTTAGTTTCTGCTGCTCAGAAGAAATACAGTGCTAAAGGAAAAAAATACATAGATGGAAAAAAGCTTAGTTTTAAGCCATTACTCATTCTCTACATAGATTGCCTGGTAAGTGTGCAGCTTCATAGTATGCAGTGAAACAGGCTTCAGTGTCATGATTGCACAATATCCTGTGCTGTACTGCTTATATATGGGTACTGCCTCTGAAAAAAGCGGACACAAGCTTGAGATTAGTCATTTTGGGCCCAGGAATCTTTGTGTCAGAGCAGGGAAGAAAAATCAGTACTTACCATCCCATGCATCAAACATATCTGTTATAAAATAATCAATGAAGGAAATCTGAGACTTGGGGATGCTGCAGGTGTTTCTGTCAAATACTGGCATCACAACAGGCAGACCCTGTCTCTTCTCTTCATCAGTCTAAGAAGAAAAAACTCCAGTGAACAACTAGAGCTTTGCTGACTTTCATGCTGGAGTAGCAAGAGGTCAAGGCATTAGATGAA